AGGTAGGTACCATATTTTAATAACATTTAAAACTAAAAAATCATATTATACAAGTCGAAAACCTCCACACACGGTTTTCGTGGAGGATCTTCTGTATTAAAAAAAAATGTATAGGTCTATTATAATATTATTATATTAGTATGACGATGTTATTATTATGTCTCAATGCGTTACTCGCGATATTTCGTTGCCATACCTTCCGAAATCAACTTTGTGAGACGAATAAAAACGTCTTCATTGTACACCTACGCATAAACATTATGTGCACATATATATATGTAGTATGTACATTCAGGTATACCCTCTCGTCGCCGTACGCGATTCTATGATATTTAAACGACGTTTGACGACGACCCCGTTGAATCGTGAATAGAGGAAATAAGTGCCGAGTTTTCCGCTAGCCGAGACGAATTATTATATATTATTATTATAACGACGTCGTTATTATTTAAAGGCGCGCACACACACGCACACACACCCGAGGCAGTATTAAGCATTGGCGACGTCAAGTGCCTATAAAATCGTTTGACACGAGTCCGTCTTTTGTGCGTCATTGTGATGGCGTTTGTGATTAATGTGCTTGGCGACCGACGGTGACGTTTCCACATTATATATTGCGAGGTACAATAATATAGTGCCGGCGATATATTATACCTTTGTGTGTGTGTGTGTGTGTGTGTGTGTGTGTGTATTGAACACGCCACGTCCTTAGCGAGCTCAGAGCCACAGATGTCTGAGAGCCGAAGCTTTTTATTGTCCCGACCGCGGTCACGCGCTGACCCGCAACCGCCGCAATATTATTATTATTATTATTTTCCTTACGCCTTTGAATTTCTTTCAGCGACACCCGCTCGACGACTCTGCACGTCGTGTAGATCTTATACAAACGAGAACCATCGACACGATCTCTGCGGGTTTACTGCCCATTCCCACCACAAACTCCTACTCGTCCCGTTTTAATTATTATAATTCTCCCAGACGAAACTATAATATTATACGACCGGGAAGACGGGTTTACGCACCGGTATAATACCTATTGACTTTAGATATGCACATGGATATAGATACATATAATGCACGCTTAATCAACATAATAATATTTTGTGTGCATACACGGCTGCTGAACGAGTTGCTAGTGCGTGTTGGTCGAGGCGAAATCCAATTTCACGCGTTTTTCGGTTAGCTTTTTCCGTTTTCTCTCTCTCTCTTTCTCTCTCTCTCACGCGTTTTTCGGTTAGCTTTTTCCGTTTTCTCTCTCTCTCTTTCTCTCTCTCTCCTCGCATGTCATCGCGTAGTATTCTATGTGTATTATGTGTACACGTCCTCGTCGTGTATTTCATTCCTCTCACCTCCGCACTAGTCCCGTTAAAACGGCCGTATAATATTGTTTTCCTTTATTTCTTGACGTCCGAAACAAATTTTTCCTCTGCATGTAGTTATATCATTATTATATTGTTTCTCGTCTCGATAAAAACACACGCAGGTATGTACACAGACGTCATATTATACACAGGTAACATATATATTTTATACACAAACACAGTATATAATGTAAACCGCTCTCAGTCCTCGCTATCGCGTGTGTTACGACATGCCATATAATATATATTATTATTGGTATGGTATAGGCACATACAGTGTACAATAGCGTATTATGTATATTATTGTATATTATATAGTATATACCTATGCCACAACTAAGGTACAAACAACCGTATGCCGGCGGTCGGCCACTGTCGCTAATTATTATCATCGAACGAGAGTGAAAATCCGAGAAAATCATGGCGAGATGATAGTTGCATGATGGAAAAATACCTCTTGCGGCTTCGTGTAATATGTACCTACATTATACACATATTATAAGCACACGAGCTACGTGATCGCCCTATTATAATTGTTATATGGTTATAACGTCCGTGATATTAAGGTAGTATACCTACCTCCGAGGCTTATAAAAAATATATATACATTTATGTATTATAATAATGTGTATAGCAGTGTGAGATATAAATATATAGATAGGAAGAAAGAGAGAGAGAGAGAGAATGAGAAAAATATGAATACATTTCAAAAATAATAAATGGTAATTCGGCGGCATATTTAGACGGACAGACGCGGCACACATACGTGGCCCGTGGAAAGAAAACGTTTAATATTTAATACGAGGCAATTTACTGTGTATACATACCTATTATAATATATAATAAATACGTGTTCGTGAGCGTATGTATAATAGTTGCGCCGTTGCAGCAGTAGCATCAAACGGGGTAGATATGAACGAGAGGAACAAATTCTCCGTGATATTATCGAAAACAATTTTTTTCATAATAATAATAGTTGAGTTCCTTATTGTGTATATTATACATGTATGATATACAGTATTCTGTACTTACGCGCTTAATGTAAAAGTACGCGAATAAATCATAAATCAAATCTCAACGGGTCGTCGCTGCTGCAGTGCAGACGACCGGAAAACTGTTTTCGAAATCACTTATATAACTATATAATATATAATATTACACATTTTATGGATGTCTAAAACTCCGAATATGTGTGTAGAAAACGGCTAACTATGTCTGTAATATTACTATAACAGTATAGTGTATACGTATATAAATATATTATTATGCACTAGGTATTACATTTATAGCATTTAAAGTATATTAAATTATATATTAATATATAGCGCACAACATTATAATATTTTGTTGATAAATGATATTAGTACCTACTTATCTCCTGTTGGCTATAACAGTATAACTAAATATTATACAATATGAGTAGTTGTCTTGAAATGTATATTAATACACATCATTTTTTTTACCTGCTTGTTGGACAAATTTTCAAAACTTTTTTTTTCTAATAATACGTTGAGAGGCGTAATATTTTGTAATATATTGTAATCAAATTATAGTCAATTATATCGTCTACGAAGTATAGTAGGTACCTACATTTTTTTATCTCATACATTGTCGGAATTTCATAATTATTTTTATCATTGTGGTTTATTTGAATTTCACGTGAAACGAAACGTAAACCACAATGTATTATACTTATATGTATTTAAAATTACGCAGTCATGAATATTTTTTATAACAATGTTTTTGTTGTTGTTATTTAATACTTACCATTTTATCGTGTCAAAAACAATAACAAAAATATATGATTTTTTTCATTGATATTCTGGGCATATTATTATGACTTTTCATAAAATGTTTTATAATATATAAGTAGCTAATAAGTAATAACCTTAAATGTTGAGGCTTTAAAGAAATAATATAAATATATTAGTATTATGCCTATAGTTCTTATTAATTAACAATTTCTAATTTATTAAAATAATTGTAAATTTTAATTTAGTTAAAATAAAACAAAAATTATTATTTTTTAAACTGGAATTAAAGTATTCAAATATTTTTATCAAACTATTATAGTTAGTAATGAGTAACTGTTTTTACGGGTTTTTAATTTTAATCATGAGATTATTATTATAACAATATTTCAGTTACCATAAAATTTAAAATAAAATCCAATTAACGACAATAGACTGATACTTTCGTAAAATTACGTTCTTCGGTTTAACAATGTCGTACACTGCCGCCATAATACTAATATAATACTAATAGTATTACTATTATATAATATTAAAAAACATTATAATAATTTGTCTAATTAATACAAAGACATTATATAGATGTATCAGTTGAATTTTATCAGTAAATACTAATCAGTGCTGTAAAAACTGGGCGTGTGCAGGGTGTGTTGTATACATATTGCACAAGGGCCTTGGATACAGCGAGGCGTATCAAATTGGACCCACTGCAGTCTTGAAAAGGCCTCGAATTGACATAGTAATTGACATCAATTATAACACGGACGAACTTATTTCGTGAATTACACAATTCTTCTTCTAAGGACTATATTTACAATAAAATAGAAACTAATATTTTGAATTTTTAAGTTAACAAATCACAGTTTAATACTATATGTACATAGTACGGTTTTAAAAAAAATGTCAACTTTGTAGAGAGTATTTTTTATCAATGAAATAGATTTTCCAATAAAATAATTAAATCTATTCTATTAAAAATATTTAAAAATTAATCATATTAATTTGCATAAGTAATATAAAGTTTTAAAATACATTTTATAAGCTACCTACTATAACTAGGAGTGTCTACGTATAAAAGAGGATAACAGCATGAATATATACATAAAATGGTTGTAGTCAGACAAATAATTTTGATTTTTTCATAAAATAAATATTATTTTTGTCTATTACTATTTATTATTACAACATTATTACACAGTATTGTTACATATAATGATATAATAATATGTACATCGTACAAAATATTTATTAGCTATCATTTTAGTTGTAGTAATTTACAAAAAAAAAGTTGACCTATGTAAATTTCCATTATATAAAATGCACAGGCGTTTCAGTACATTCCTTCTTGCAATCATAGCAGTTGGTACTTCAGTTAGCTCGAAATTAAAAACTGTTTCAACAATAATCAAGATAACATATTATTTACACTTGACAGTGCCATGTAGGTATGTTAACCCCTGATTAGAACTCAGCATCGCCAATGTCATCTATAGTTCTAAATATCTTTTTCTAAAGTTATTCGTTAGATTAGGTATTAAAGGAAATTGTTTTTTAGTACATATAGGTATAAACTATTATATTAAAAAAGTGTAATGTTTTGATGTAAAAAATGTAAAAATTTCTTATTCCGTGTAAGTGATATTATATATAAATATATATATATATGTATAATAATGTAATATTGTAATAATATCACATAATGTTCATATTATGCATCCTACTGTAACTGAAATACAATTATTGTGAGTTATAATATTGTATGTCATCCACTCATCCCAACCCACCCATAAATATAATATACCTATACCTATTATAATATCATGAGTACCATATTATATTATATTAACTGCAATCGATCATTCTAACGGAGAAATTCGATGCGTTACAGGTGCTGATGGCTTCCGAACAATTCATACCTTCAAAGTTTGTGTTTTCTACTGATTACGCGCCTGTGGTAAAAAATTTGCCAATGCTGGCGGCGCTGGCCGAGGCGTGTCTGTGGCCGGTGGTTTTGCTCCTGTTCGACGACCAGTTCGTACCCCGGCTGTCAAACTTGTACCGGAGACGAAGTGTTTCGGACCGGGCTAAGCCCCCTCAAGGTAAATAAAATGCATTTATTTGTTATCAACGTCATTACAGTATTCGTATACGCATTACTTATCTAAACGCCGTACATATTATATATTAAATTGTGTGCAATATCTTCTACGATGAGATATTATCATATTAGTATATTACCCATATTCAGTCTCGTATCAATTGGGTATAAGGTGGCTGATGTCAGATTCCCCTCAATCTTCTGGTTAACTTACTTTAGTTTGCATAAGTTCTTATGAAAAAATCCATAATATTAACATTTTGGAAACCTCCTATATCCCTATACAACCTGGGGATATTATGCACCTGAACGTGTAACGTAATAATATCAACACCTATGCAAATGCGACAAATGCAACTGAACAAATTGTTTACTCGAATATTTATTTGATTTTGACTCGTTTCTGAAATGGAAAACACGTTAATATTTGCAATATTACGGTAATTTTATATTTTATTTTATACATTTCTCATTTTGCCGACATTTCGACATGGACGCGGAGGGATCGGAAAAATATTATTAACAATAATGATATGCATATTTTAAATTAATATTTATACACATAAATAGTTTACGTGTTCTCTGCTCCGACTTCAGAATTGAATTTGATTTTTTCTGCATTTCTAACAACCATCCTCATACATATAAAATTGAATAAATTTGTATAGTAAAATCATCATAATAATTTAAACATCGTAAAAAGTGTAATTTATTTCATGATTTTAGTTAACTGTCGAGTTGTAATAGTTTAATGATAATAGCTGTATAAATAAAAAAATATGAAAAATTAATTCGTGATTTCTCGAATTTTTGATATATATTTTTTAAACAATTAGATTTTCTTAATAGAGTTTAAACTAAACAAAAGTAACGTGTTTAATTAAAATTATTTTCTCTTTATAATAACAATAATGAGAATAAAATCTACTGAGAAAATTATAAACTAAAACAAAAACAGAACCTTCTACAGCTGTGATATTGTTGACTATTGACACCGTAAGATATATTATTAAATGTAATTATAATATTATATATTTTGATTCGATATAATACGCCACGTTGACTATTTTATTTCTTACAAAAATTTAACTATTTTTTCTCTTCTCATTTATTCAATATTTTATCTCTTGGTAAAAAATTCGTGACTGTTACGCCATTGTATTTTTATGAAAAATACTGTGACACATAACTTTGAAGAACGAAAGTATTTAAGTTATAACGTTGAAAGTATTATATATATGAAATTATATACGATATATGATATATATATACTGTAATTGTTTCAAGCGTAACTTACTGTCTTGTCCCAAAAAATCGGAAATGGGAATGATATTATACATATATATTATATACACTTTTCCTACAGCGAAGCAAATATGTCACTTCTAGAATTCTAGAAAAGAATAAGCACTACTACATTCTTCACCGTATATAATAATATATATTCAGCGAATCGACCGAATACGGGTGGTAGTGGATTGCCTAATGCCCTACACATATACAGGGTGTTAGGGTGAGAGTAATGTAAACACCATTAGTCATTATCTACATTGGCGTGCTACTGAAAACATTTAAGCCTCTACTATAGAACTGTTCACGGAAAACCGATTCCTAAAATAAATCGAAAATTATGTGTTGTACACACTTGTACAGACTGATTAATCGATCAACCCTGCGACCAGACGATGTAGAATATATGCCTTCTTCGAATATTAAGAGTACATTCAAACATAATAATATGGAATCGTATCAAAGTCTGAGATTCTATATTATTTTAACGTAATTCGTTTACTCGACAAATACGATTATATAATATTATATTTTCCTGTATATTAATTTATTATTGTCATAGAACCAAATACACAGTGAAAACTAGAAATATATTGTTTTTTAAATAATTTTCGTTTAACACGCGTTCGCAGGCTTACACGGCAAGTTTCGCCCGTACAACGGTTCGTTGCAAGATGCCCGAAGGCCTCCACCGCCTTCCAGCGGTGGCGGCGAAGCGGTCAGATTTCCCATCACCAACGGATCTTTGTTCGCCAGCTTGGATGGCAGAGTTCCGGTTCTGCACAACTACAGACGAGGTTTGTACATATACTTACTCAATCTCTCTCTTTCACATACGCACGAACGTTTATTAGCATGTCTCTCGACAGATGGCTGACGAACAGAAAAATTAATTTAAAAATATCTAAATACAAATTAAATATCTTTGAAAAATATGATAAACCTGAAAATGCGCTGAAGTTTATCAGCATTTAAAAGGAAAATAAGTTTATTTTTTTTTTTAAATTAATACTTACAAGAATTTTAAATATAGTAAGACTATAAAATATTAGTTTTATCAAAAATATAATATTTTTATTTTTAAAATAAATTTTAATTTATACAATCTATTTTGTATTACAATTATATATATAAAGAAAAGAAAGTCTAGAATGAACAAATAAAAATTGTAATATTTGAATACAATTACAACTGGTATAAATACATTGTTATTTTATTTTCATATTGAATATTATAACATATTTTTATTTATTAAAATGTATAATATGATAATTTAAGATTGATGTAGATAAAAATAAATATCAGGAGACCACGGATTATTTATGCATAAATATTGCGAAATGTCTGTGCATAATATGTTGATAATTAAACGCCCTGCACATTAGTATAGTATATAGTTCACCCAGTGATGCAGTTAATTTTTTTCACTTGTTCTGATGATTAATATAAGCCACATCATATTATGTTATACTATGGTACTTTATACTGTATAGTAGGTACCATAATAATATAATACGCGTATTATTATATAGTAGGTACCTAAACAGTTCAAGATCTGTGTAGGTTGTCCTGATTCCCGACACAATATAATAATTATAATATGGTGACGGTATTTTTTTAATTTATAAAGGCATAAACACTGAACTGATGCAGTTTTTTTTTTCGAGAGTATACTGCAATAAATAATATTTTACGTCGAAACGAGTCGCGTGAATTGGCTCAACTCCATAACGATCGTCCATTTCTGTTTACGTCGTGCTATGTATCGATGTACGCGCACTATACGGAATTGGGATATTTGTCTGAATGATAAAATGTACAACGATATATTTTATTATTATATTATATTGCATTTTGTTTTGAACCCATAACGTTAAATTATTTTAGTGCCGCCAGACACAGACCAGTGCACATGCGACATGTGAATATCTGATCGTAAAATCTAGTATCCAAATCTTCATCATATATATATCACATCGCAACAACAAAAAATAATAATAATAACGATGATGTACACAGTACATAATATACAAGTACATGGTGATAATATTGATATTGTATGCGTGTCGGGTCTGTCGAATTGCGCATCAGATGTGACTTTCTCGAATAATATTATATTCACACACGGATAAGTCTGCGTGTAGGTAGGTACGCGTTATATTTTATACATATCCCGGAATTCGCCTCGTAATAATATACGCGTCGTGTTATTATTATTATTGTATTACCTACGACGACCGCCCAATGCCGTTCGTACATAATATATGTAACACCAAAAAACACAATATAACAATATATCGGCCGACATGTGTGTGCGTGTAATGAAATTTCTACAAAGCAAAATAAATAATAAAAATCCAACAGACTTTATAAATTGTACGTCGTCGTGACAATACTGCAGCTACACGGAAATGTCGAAAAAAATGTTATAAAATATTCAATGCGAACATTGTGAGCTCGTTGTCGCTCTCCATCCGGCGGCAACGTAGTCGATAGAATTTCTCGCAAAAAAACGAATAAAATATTTTCGAAACTCTTTTCGCGCGTCCTCCGTGTTGTGCCGCACCTCACTAGCTCGCAATATAGCTAATAATAATATTATACAGGTAACATTATATTGTTGCAGTGCACAACACAATACAAATATCACGTGTTACCTATAGGTACCTATACAAATAATATTAAACGTTCGATTTTCTTTTTCCGCGACAGACGCAAGACCCGACCGGTTTCTCCCGATGCTGCATAATTTCTCTACGACCGCCACCTCCCCGTCAGTTGTGGCGGTGGCCACATTGCCGTAGACCTAACTCGAATTATTACTTAGTAAGCGGTTGTTTCTGTAATATTTCGTTTGTACAAGCCACAGTTACAAAACCGTTTTACTCCAGACAGACACGCACACTCACCAGCAAGTACGTGAGTCGGTACGAACGATTATGTCCGCGATATAGTCGATTTGAACGACGCTAACGGTAATAATAATAATTAACCAGTCATAATATAACTATAGGTATCCGCGGTGCATTTAACAACTGGTTAGGTACACTAAATTTTCAAGTCAATTCTTGCAAAAGTCGTGGTCCACTTCTTCGGTTATCTGAACGTCAAGTGTTTAAGATAACAAAAAAAAAAAAAATATTTATCCAATGTCTTATTATGTAGGGCAAGAAAATAAAACAAAACATAAACTCAACTTTTCACAAAACAGGCGGGACAATCTAAATTGTTTTTATAAACAGAAACACAACGGAAACCAGACTCTGTGTGGACCCAGGATTATATTGACAAAATGTTTTAAACAAATGATTTATACAATGTAAAAATACAGATGTTTCAAAAAATAATTGCTCTTTGAGTTATAATTTAAATATTTTGCAATATTTAATTATGATTTATTTTTATTGTTTAACAGTTAATTAATTGAGAATTCAGTTGAATATATTATAAATCTTTAAGATGCACTATTACTCTATAAATAAATTATAGGAAGATTTTAATAGTTAATTTGATACTGTTAATTAATAATTTATGCTAATAAGTTCAATATATTGTGGTAACGACGAAACAACTATTAACAATTAGTTTACAACAAAAATTTTATAAATAAAGATAAAATAATACAAAACTAACATTTAGGAAAAGTAAAAAAATTACAATACATCTTACAATTATAGATAATCGAATAAACTATAGGTAGGTACTCTTTTAAGTTCATGTCAGTATCGTAATCAGATATCTACAAACATAGCACATACCTATTTTTTCAAAGTCAATTAAATCGTGCTATAAACATTATATTAGTAACAGTTAAATAAAACAATTGAAAATAATATATTTTAAACAAAAATGCATATTTTAAACGATTAAAACAATAGTTTTTCGTTTTATAAGACCATGCTTTTTATCAACTCTGAATTTATAGTAAGTATAAAATAATATATATAATATATATAATATCTATATTTAAGAAAATCAAAATTGACTTGAAATATTAGTGTAACTATTTAAATATTTTTGACCTCGTACTAGCTAGTGGTTTTTTGCGTCTTTGGGCCGCGTCCCCTATGTACGATCGTGTATTGTATACGAATATGTGATATTCGTCGTATAATAGTATGGTGTAGGTAACTGTAAATATTTTCTTTCACGTATTATCATTATTTTCATCATCGTCATCACAAACATCATCATCAATCGTCATCATCATCATCATCATCATCATCATCAACATCTTCGCCGTCGTGGCAAATATATAAACAACGCGGTCCACGATAATATATATACGAACGCAGCACGTGTTATGCATATATATATATATATGGTACCTACCATAATATACCACAAACCTACCTACCTACCTACCTCATCGTCGTACAATAATATTGTAATGCGGTCGTGTCGTCGGAACAAAAAAAAATGTGTCGCGCGGTCGTGTAAAACCGAAAATTCTACACGCGAAGCACAGATTGCGTATAACTGCGACATTGAATAGGCAGGACTATAGCAGTGGTGCGAGTACATCTGTAAGCCCACTCGTTATGAAAATATAATATATTAATATAATGCGTGCACATATAAATATTGTATTATAAAATGTGCAAGCGCATATATAATAATATACCGTTGCGCGTTATTCTGTTCAGGTCTCCGCGACGCGTTTCGAATTCCGCGTGTGTAAATATATTATTATGATAATATTATTTTGTACCTATATATCGCCTATATACATCAAAATATTATGTTTGTACATAAATGTGTATGCTGATTAACAAGACACCGTGTTCGCTATTATTACGGTTCGCGTGTTCGGGTCTTCGATTCGTTTGCCGACGTCCCTTCGGTCTTCGGTCGCCGCGTCGACGTGCCATCACTATACGCCAACCTCATCGGAGCACAAAAATAATAATATATTATAAATAATTCATAGTAATATTATTATGATTATCGGCGGAGTGATTTTACGACACGAGCCACGCATACTTATCCGACTATCTGAGTGTCCTGTTCGATCGTTATTTCTTCTTTTTTCTTTCGGAATTTTAACGTTTTGTTTTTCGGCTCATCCGATAATCGCAAACGAAATAAAAATAAAAAAACTCCTACGAGACTAAACCGTCGCTGCGTCGAAAATCCATAAGGTCGACTCGCATACACACATAGAAGTATATAATATTTGCATTATGAATTTTTTTTCTCTACCAGGAACGCTTAAATTTAAAAGTACTTAATATACAAAGGCGACGACAATACGAGTTTGTAACATGTTGTAGGTGTTTAATTTTTCACCAACGCCGCACCGCGTGTAGGTAATTACCACTGGTGTACAAATATAGGTATGAGGTATACTACATTCGCGTACGTAAGACCACTCAGAGTAAATTGGCGTGAAATTTGTTTTTAAATGCCGTCGATTATAAAATAATCTGGTTATGTATCTATATTTCTTTTTCCGAACAACTCTACGATTATAATATAATTCGAAAGCTGCACTACCCATGCTTTACGATATCATATAATACACAACAGTAATAACACGAATACTGTTGTGTTATCATTTTAGTGGTCACGGAAGACTTGTCGGCTAAACTTTGATTATTTCCGCCGACTAAATGTCTTCTCATCGCTGATTAAATAATATGATACGTGAATAATTAATAATGTGTTCTTGAGGTGGGGGGGGGGGACTAACTGCGAATCGTCTACGATAGTTTCGGTTGTTTTCGAAGACAATAAAAATCATCTCGTTTCCATACCGAGGTACATAACTGATAGTATAACATATATATTATATATATATATAAATATATATATTATTATTATATACTTACCTACACCTACATAAAATATACTGAACTATAAAAATATATATTTTATAGACTATAGTATGTAATAACGGACCTATTTTTTTTAAAAAATATGATATTATTATAGTTTATTTTTGATAGGTACCTACAAAATATATAGTGCACGCACAGAGAGCGCGTAATTATCACGTCCTTCGTGCCGAATACGTACCAATACAATAATATATATATATATACATAGTTATAATATTATTATATACCGTATTATAGTAATATACAAACAATAGGCTTCTCGCGGTTGTACAAAATAATATAAAATATAGGGGAAAAAAAAATATCTGAAGAACGAATGAATAGCGACGTGATTTGGGCACATCGAGGGCCGTTGGAATATTTATTAAATTTTGCTCGTGTCCAATGCAATTCCCGGGCCGGCGCCGAGCGTGTAACACGACGTCCAGCAAATATAATTATTATATTATATAGATATAATATACATATATATATATTACATCGCCACGTTTTTTTCTTCATCTATATAATATAAAATTATATTATTATTATTATTGTGATCACGGCGGCGTTGACGTTTGACCGTGCACCGTAACCCAACAATATAATAATAATGATATTATCTATGTATATACGCGTCCGAGTATTTATTTTATTGCCGATTATTAGAGGTTGGCATGTACCTATTAGTTATTACCTACTATGTACAAATTATACAATTATTACATTGTATAATACGGGTCACAGGGCTAAAAATCGTGTGCCGGCAATAAAAGGCAGCGGGTATAATATTCTATGACACACTTTGTAAAAAATAAAGTATTATATTTTAGATGGGAATGCACAGTACAAAACGAGAAAGCGCACGTAACGCAATATAATATTTTGATGTTCATATTGTTTAAAAAATGTAGTTTTGACTTTTAATTGTGTACTCTGATTTTCGAGAAAATTTGTATTGGCCTTACAATGATGTGAACGTTACTCTAATATTTTACTCAGTAAACAATTTTCCGACCGAAAATTCGCATAAGTCGATTGGAAATTCGAAAATTCAGTATACCTTACATTATACAGGTCTTTTTTCGAGTTTCTAATTAGTTTGAAAAATAATCACACGGGAGAAAGGTCGAGAAATGTCGACAGGCACAATAACCGACTTTAGGTTAAACCTTGGCCGTTCTTTATCCGAGGACTACACTGAGAATCATTTTTCAAAACAATACGTATAATTATCATGATAATTACAAATAATAATACATTACTGAATTACGCCGATGTGAACGAGAAGATCTAACGCTCAAGAGTAAACATCTATATTCTGTATAATATCTAATATGTATTATTATCTAGTATATGTATTTTTTTTATTTAGGCACTTATATTAAGTATAAAATGTGTAGCATGTGCACATATTTGACAAAAAAAAAAACACATTATTATTACTTGCTTAGAGCATAAAAATGCCAAATTCTCGTGACACACTTCGCAGGTAGAAAAAATATTATTATAATATCATACTTTTACAATAATTTTCCCTACATGGTCTAATACCGTTCGGGGTTTCGTTATTTGTTCCTCTCTTCTTGTTATAACCGTATAATCAACATCAGTATACCACAGTACTAACCACGAAATCGAACGTCTTCCGCGTTATTGTTAAGTACCTATCCCACACAATGACATTACATATCGTACGATATGATTGCCAATAAGTGTACAGTCTTTACAGCGGTAACATTCTTTTCCTTTTGACCTATTCATATGCATTAATCTGACAGTTATTTAATTGCTTTTCAATTATAGTTATTTAAGATTAAGCTTACACATAGGTAGTGAAACAAAAATATAAATACTTACCACAAACATTTTAAAAACAAACGAATAGATATCGGTTAGGTCATACCTACGCCTCGAAGATCGTTTAAGATGTAGATAGGTTATAGGTACCTACAGATGAAATGGAACTTGGATTAAATATTGACGAAAACAAATACAATTTCTAGAGGGCAGTGGTGTTTATAAGGACACAATCTAATACAAAAAATACATATAACTACAAATAAAATAATTTTAAAAAAATGTAACTCCAAAAATGTAGGTAAATTAGTAAATTAGAAAACTTTTCAAAAATAGATATTTTTCTTGTATATTTTGCGGAAATTTATATTTTAGGTATAAATTATGAATGTTTGCAACCTACGAAAATATTAATATTGTTGTCTTGTGGTTTTTCAGGCGTTAGGACGATGAGTGGTCTACTGTCTTCACCACCACCTCCACACTTTATAAACACGGCAACGGATTCGACGATCGGTCACTGTTGTGAAGACGAACATCACCACCAGCAGCAACAGCATCAACAACAACAACTACAACAGCAGCAGCTTCATCACCGGTCACTGCGATTCGCCAATATGGTGACCGCGTCGGCGGCCATGTCACCGACGACAGCGGACGACTGCAAAGCGGTGGCAGACGACTCGACGCCGGCCGACAGCCTGGACGACCAGTCTATCGTGGCTGGCGTCACGGCTACTGTCATTGGTATTCGATCAACGGACAGCCGATTGCCGCAAAACTTACAGCAGCTCCGTGAAAAGTTGTACGCCCAAGACGACGATGACGATGAAGACGAGGCAAGTTGTTGCGGCAGTGACAGTGGCCGGGACGTGGCCGTGGACGGCGAAGGACATCGGGCAGACAGGCCCGAGGAAACAGCCACCGTGGAAACGACGGCCGACGATGAGGACGATTCTTCGGACGACGGGTGTGACAGGCGGGACGACTACGACGACTGCGAAGACGAGGGTGGGTACGCCACGCTGTCCGCCCGAAGCGTGTGCTCGGCCACGACGGCGGCCAACGACGATTTCGAGTATTTCGCGGCGTCCGTTGACCGATCTGGCGGCGGCGGGGGCAGCGGCGAAGACGTCACTCCACCCGCAACCGACCGGTCACCCGTCGGCGGTAGAGTCCCGTACCAGCGGGCGCCCACCAGACGAGCCAGGCACCACCAGCCGCAGCCACAGCACCATCTGCACCATCGGCATCACCAGCACCCACAGCCGTCACAATATCACCAGCCACACCATAGGCTTCAAGTACGCGCCGCAGCACCGGCCCTGCCGCCAACTCCGCCAACGCCGCGCAGGCCCAAGTCTCGTCTCACGCCTGTCTTGTCGGTCGACTCACTGGTCGCGGCACAGGCGGCAGCAGATGCCGCCGCCAACGCCGCGGGTTATCCAAACGCCTCTCAATTGCACCACCATCAGCAGCACCACCACCAACACCACCAGATGCACCACCATCACGGGGGCAGACATCGCGGTGGTTTCGGTGGCATTGCCGGCAGACGGCTGGGTGGCGGTGGCCGCGGACACCACGGCGGAAGTGTGCCTGACCTGAAACGAGTGTTCATAACGGATTTCCTGTAAACTGTGTCGCATGGCCGCGATTTTTGCTAGCCACTATTGCTGCGGGACGTGCTCTCGGTGTCCCATAATTTTAGGGTCAGTTTTCCCGGCATTCGTTATCGGTGTATTCAACGAGATTTTTCCATAGAAAAATCGATTTTTCTGTCTTTTAAGTTTTTTGCCTTGTTGACGAAATCCATGTAAATAGTATTATAGTTGATATTTGATTATATCATACGCGTATACAAGACACGGTGACGCTACAGGTCTCCAGATTTAATATTATATGTATTGTGCATATCGTATAATATTATACATTATACATGCGCATGTCTGAGTCACGTATTTATGTATACTTAGGTATCTTTGATAATAATTTATTTAAACCAAAATCTGTTTTTGTGTATACAATTATAGAAACTGTTTGGTTAGTTCAGTTTCCTTTTTTATTTTTGTTATTAAAATAATATGTAGGTAACTCCTACTGCATGTGCGCCAAATCAATTCGCAGTAGGTTAATTGAATATGCGCATCTACACAAATAGCCACGAACGACACTGTTTTATTATATATTCGTTAGGAACTTTTGATCAAAGACGCAAATGTATATCATATATATTTATGAATATATGTGTGTTGTTTAGTAGGGTCCTCTCACCCCGCAGTATTGTACCGTATCTAAGTTTAAAAATTCGTTTTTGTCGTATTTATATTATTATTATTATATTATATTATATATAGAAACTTTATTATATTGTTAGACTAAGATGTTTTGTTTATTTTTTAACACTTGGTGCCAATTTTATTGTAAGATTAAAATGTATTTATACGTTTATTATCATTATTATTATTATTATTTGTAAATTGAACATTGTTTTTGTTTTTGCTTTTTTTTTAATAACTAAGAGTGTACATTATATTAAGTATTTAGCGTTTCACGTTATGTTGATATGTATGAGATATTTAACGATTTTAATTTTATTATTATTATATTCTAAAACATTAACCAGTTTTTGTTTGATAGTCGACTATAATAAAAATGTATGTCAAATAAAAACAATTTATATAGTCTAGAATTTTGAAATTTACACTAATTTATAATACAAACAATTTTTCATTTTGATATATATTTCATTAGCCTAATGATACCTGATTTAATAATTGTTTTATTTCGCTTTACAACTTACGTAAAACATAATATTTAAAGCAGTGACCAATACAACTTATACGTAAATGTAAAGTAGGTAAAAAGACTAAAAAATTGATTGAATCAAAAATGGAAAATATTGTTCAAATAATATTATTTTTCCAGAGTATAGGAATAACCATTATAAACATTATATTGAATTCAATTAAACTTATACATTTATATGACACAAAAAAGTTATAACTCAGTTTGAAATTTATATTAACAATTATTTAACCCTAAAACTTGAGAGTTTTTCACACAACAATGGAATTATAATATTTTAGGATTTAGAAGTTCATAAGCTAAAAAATAAATAGTTAATAATAATTGGTTTATTAAACTATAATGTATTCACCATCATTAAATCAAACTATCCACTTTAAAATTTTAAAAATTAATATATTACATGTTGTATAAATGGGTATTATTAAGTTGTTCAGTCAAGGGTTTCTGTCGTTACGTGCACTTTATTGTTTGCTGGTAGAACATTTGTCAGAAGTTAGAACTTATAAGAGCCAAAGAAAAAAGTATACGAATTAAATTTAGAACAAAGCTAGAAGAGAGAAACAAAAAACTCTAAAGTCAATGGGAATGCGAAAACTAAATATAAGTACCTACTGAAAGTTTACGGTGTAAGTTTGGAAAGACGACAAGTGTAAAAAGCTTAACGTTGGAAATATTGAAAAACCAAAGTTTTAGGATTTAGTTTATTTATAATGCACAATTGAGTGTTCTAAGATTTTATAGATAATAACATTACTAAAACAACAAAAATATCTGAATATAGAAACAATTTTGTTTAATAGGTACACACAATTAAAATATTATGCAAATATAATACACATACTATTAAGTATTAAGTTTTTTGGGTCAGTGTAAATTTTAAAACCGCTTTATCGTTAAGGCGTTACAGTTTGAGTAACGTTGTATACCTAGTTGCTTGAAAGGGGAATGACATCAAAATGATAAATGTGTAATATAATATAATATGATAACTTATAAGAACTTAGGGCTTCCCAGTAAATTCGGAAAAATCGATAGAGTTAATGGAAAAAAAAAAATTCTAATTTTCCCTACATATACCTTGCATCTTGGCAAAGAGTTGGTAAACTAAGTAGCACCCCCTAGATTTATTTTTATGATTTTTGTTCATAAATCGTTTAAAAAAATAAAATATTTTTTCCAAATCATAATATTCAACGGCTAATATACGAATAGAAAAATGATACATTTTCAACTAAACTCAAGGAAATTTAAGTAAATTGTATTTTATTTGTGAAAAAAGTTACAGCTACAAAAGTAAAAACACTCAAATACTTAATCCTAATAATCTTAATTAACACAAGTGGAATTGTTGGTTTTATAATGATAATAAAAAAAAAATTATGGTGAGACACTTTCGCAGTGTACGAGTGTACGGCGGTCGACGACGACGTGAATAACTTTCTATTATTTTTATAATATAATTCATAATTATTACAATACATAATATACATTACACAGAGTTTTACATATTATGCTGTGAGACAAAAATGTTGAGGAACTCGCCCGATAGCGACTAACGTAATACCCACAATTTTTGTCACATAAAATGAGTACATCTTGTGTATGTTGGTGTTTTCAGATGAAGTCCGTCCTAGGAGCAGTGGTATAAAATCACTTCACTAACTACTATTTTCATTCATATTTGGTGAAGGGGAGATAACTGTTGCGGAACTTATAATGATATGATGTTTGCGATAAATATCTATAACGATAAAGCAACAATAAAGATAAACGAGATTAAATCAAAATTTTTGAATATTACACTTTTATAGTATCAATAATTATATCTGATAAAAATAAGAGGCATCAAATTTACACTAGTCTAACCAAACTTGACCCAAGTCCAAAAGACGAAGCATGGTAAATACTTACCTTCCTAAATACATTCGGGAAGCAAGTATACAACTAGTAAATTATTTTCTAAATTGAGGACTGTTGGTGGTTCATTTATCTCCCCCCTCCACTCATAGAATCTAGACGGATTGACATGAGTACCCATTGACATAACTTCAGGTTCTTACTGAATTAATATTTGGTCCAATGACGATGGATTTATTATTAGGTAAGATAATAAGATGCTCTCCGAGCATTAAGGTTCAATCCAATGACAGGATGGGGTTACAATGAATATTATGTATTATTGTGAATTTTTTTTAATATAACACTATTAGGCTATAATGGAATAGTTTTTGGAATTTAATAGATTACTATGTCAAGCTACAAGTATTTGATAAGATGACAGGAGAAAACATATTGGTTGGAACTTGGAAGTACTGAAAACTACTAATGTTTGCGTTTGTTATTTAGTTTGTAGTTTTGAACCAAATGGGAGTAAGTGAAATCCGAAAATGTTAATTATTAATATACTCGTAGGAAAGATACGAAATGTGTTTTTGGTTATCTTGATGTAACTTTAATTTTAAGGGGGTAGGAGTTCCAAGTGAATTTCAAAACTTGGATTGCGAATTCATGCGTAAAGCATGCTAATTGTGATCGAACTGCGCATCTATAATATTAGCTTGAGTTTTTGCAACGTGTGGTAGACCGGCAAGGTGCATTTATTTTACAGTAATAATAATTTTGTGACGCTGCATAGTGCATAGAAGTTAAATACTACGTATATTATCTAAACATCTTTACGAGCTCTGGTTCACGATAATATATCTATATTATGCTAAATAGTTTGTAAAATACATCAAGAAGTTCGTCAGCCGGAGCTAAGGAAACGTCAGTAATAAGTATGTATTTAATACTATTTATAATATTGATATAATGGCGTGTGTTTGAACGATTTTATTGTCAAACGTTTTCCACCGTTTTATTAATAAGTACCAAGCGTTATCGAAGGCATTAACAGTTATATTTTATACTGTACAAATAGTATAAATATGTATTATTATAATAATATTTTAGGCCAGTTTTTGGTTAGGTTAGGTTAGGTTGGAAGATTAACGAGATAAATTTGCTTTATAACGTTGTTACATTGTGTGTGTCACGAAATTGAGTTGTAATACTATTATAATTATTGTAAATCTAGAAGTATCGTAGAAAATATTCTTTGTAGAAAATATCAATGTTTTAATCATGTACATACTATTATGATTCATGAATACAACGACGTAGCAAGTGTTGTACTACTTTCTTCTCCGAAGACTAAAGTTGTGAAAAAATTAAAAAATAGCAAAGAATATGATACAGTATTATTATCACCATGCATAATCGAAATTCGATATTTTACATATTTAATTGTTATTGTGTATTCAAATCACGATGTCTGTAGTGTGATTTAAGATGCAGATTTAAATAGGAATAAATAAAAAATATGTTTTCATTAGTTCTCGACAGTGCATTGTTTCCCCCGCTAAATCAATACGCTTCTTAATCGATAAGTATGAATGATTAAACTATGATTTAGAGGAATAGGGGCTGCTAGAAATTCACAACATTCTGGCCTATACGGGGAAGAATAAACAATGCAAAGCATCATCATATGTTCAACCTGTCCTTACACCAGCAACCTAAAAGCTACCAGAATAAATCTAAAAACAACATAGGTACATGCAAAAAATTTGACTTGACTCGCTTATACATGGGACAAAATTATAGAAAATCGCAATCAATAATGCTAATAAATTATTTAAATAAATATTATAATATTATATTTCATATTTATTTTATTTATTTGTTTAAAGTTTTAAACAGTATTATATTATATTTTATAAATAAGGATTATAGGTATTTTATCAATATTGTATGCGCCTGACAAGAATAATTATACAAAAGCAATACGTGTATGTGGTTCGTGTGATCAGCACCTT